GGAATTTCGTCACGTGTTCCCAACGACAAAGGGTTGCAGGAGGAAAAGGAACGGCTGGAACGAAAGAGGCAGCGATCTTCCCCGAGTCCTTTGCACTCTATTTACGCTACTGTTACGGCCAGCCAAGTTTCACGACTGCGAGCTTCCAACGCAAAAAAAAAGTGGAAATTCGGAAACTCACAGAGTAAGGAGTCGCCCCGTTGATGACGACCCCCTCGGCGAATCGGACCCGGGACGGGTGGTTCTTCAACTTGGCCTTCTTGGCCGCGCTCAGCAGGGCTGACTTCCGCGCCGACTGTTCCGAAGAGCAACAAAGAAAAAAAAAAGTAACTCATGCATTCCACGTAAGACAGACGAATGGAGGCGCTCGGTCAGGGCGAATTTCGAATGAAAACCCTCCAGACTCAGGTATTCATCTTCGCTTCCTTTTAAAAGCCAGTGAAGCGGAACATTATCTTCTTTCCCCCCCCCCCTTACCCAATTAGTCATGTTCCTCCGAAATTCATTAATCCCTTTCCCTTGCGTGCGGCTTTCAAAGAGACAAGGACTCGGCGTTTCATCTCTCCCTAGTCGAATCTGCCGGCAAACCGCAAAAACCTCTCGTTTTTTTTTTTGTTCCACTCGAACTTCCGGAATTCGGAGCGGTTCCTTGTGAGAACATCCGCACCACAATGACGGGGTTCGTCGGGGTAGGCAGCGGTCGGAAGGAGGGGTAGATTTTTTTTTTCCTTCCCCTTCATCATCGAAGAGGGGGGAAAAATCGTTAGAAGTCTCCGACCGAGAAGGAAAGACTGTTTGGTATGCGAGACAGAACTCCGTAAGCAAGCGGCTTAATAAAGACGGACGCAATTAAAGTTCATTACCGAGTCGGGAGGAAAAGCAGCTTAGCAGCAAGGTACGGCAACACCTATGGATTTTCTACTTCCGACTCCACAACGCAGCGATGTAATGCCATGCTTCCCGAGGAGTTTGCAAAACCCAACTCCCACGACGACGAAGCCCGTCAGAAAATAAAAGGGGGATAGAGAAGAGGCCAGAGATTTGGATTGAAGGAGTCGTTGCCTCGGCCCGCGTCAGAAACAGTTCTTTCGAGTCAGCGGAATCCAATTTTCCCCTTCCACGGAAGCGCAAACAAGCCCCCCCCTGAAAGAACTTAAGCGAAGGGAGGTCCACAGGGTCTCTCACGTTGTCGAGGGGAGGCTGGCAGACGGTGAGTCGGACGGAATGGGTGCAGGCACGGACGAGCTGGATGACGTGATCCCGAGGGGCCGCCTTCACGTCCTCGCCGTTGATGGCCAGGATCTGGTCGCCCGGCAGCAGTTTCCCCTCGCTCGGCCCTCCCTCCGTCACGAACCTGATGGGTCACATTCGATCGATCAGTCTCATCGCCATCACCGCGATTCTCTTTTTTTTATTATAAAGGATCAATAAAGGGTACTGTTCAAGCAATCTTTAAGGACGAACGTGCATCTCCCTTCTCGATCGAGGGTTCTTGAAGACAGTCCATTAACGAGAAAGTATCATCATCCTTAACAAAAACTGACTTCTCATGCATGCAAGCAAGTAAGCCAAATCTATCTGGGCGGAAGAGAAGACGAAATTCTAGCAAATGAGTTATTAAAAATATCACATTTACCAAGATGGGACATCTTTCATATTCTTTATCCACAGGTTCAGGAAAACCTAATGCTAATAGAGCTAGAGAAATAACAAAAGGTGACTTGAAAGGATCTACCTCTCCAGAAAGTTTTCTCTAATACTTATCTTCACAAGTTGACTTGTAAGGAAAACTTCAGAAGTCTTTGAAAACATCTCTGAAAGTTTTATTTATGTCTTTTACGGTTCTGGAAGAAATTTGCCGGAGTTTTCAGGAAAAACTTTCTGGTTCGGACGAGACCCTTGCCACCATAGCATGTGACGGATCCATCCGTTCTCAACGCCTCATTCCCCGCTTATCGTTAAAAACCTGCTTGACAAATCGGAGGGCACATTGGGAGCATGCAAGGAAAGCCTCCCGAGAGCTTAGCTCGTAGGCTTTCACGAAGCGAGGGGCAGATTTGGAGAATGTGAGACCATATCCTTTCCTTAGCGCAATGACAAATGAGGTCAGAAGATCCATCCTTTCCCACACCCCCCGTGTCTCCGGCATCCCCCCTTGNCCCCCCCCCCCCCCCCCCCCCCCCCCCCCCCACCCAAATGCTCTCCTGCTTCCATATCCAGTGCATTAAGGCTCTGTTTCCGCCAGCGCTTAAATGGGAATGGCTATCCACATTTCATCTCCATGCGAGTTTTCGTGGAGAGATTCCCACTTTGCATGAAATGTCGATAGAAAGTTCAGTCGATACTTCATGCTCGGTGCAACGTTTGTCATGTGATTCCATATTCGATGAGGAGAGATGAGGAAAATAATATATATGGTTTCTTGCAGGGAAGAAATCTTGAGCAAGTCAAAGGAAAAAAGGAATATGCGAAAATGGAAATGAATAGAAATCGAATCGAGAATTGGATTGATATCTCTCCTGTGCACTTGGGGATTCACTTTCGCATAGATAGGGTTGATGTTCGAATGAAGGGGAATTGAAAACGACAGAAAGGGCGGATGAAATAGGAGGAGCAGAGAAAAATAGCTTAAGTCTCAGACCAGGGTTTGTTAGTCTTAAGCGACCGTTATGTGATGGAGAAGCAACGAAGGAGAGCAAGTGTGCTGCACTCTGCCCCTTTCGACTCAGTCAATTGACCCTAATGAGAGAATCTCATTCTATTTCCATTAGTCCAGCCCAACCCATGCCATTGCACTGATTTTCAGAGATACCACTCCCAGAAAGTAGTAGTACCCCTCCCTGCATCCACGTATCGTCCACTGCAAGGTTTTCTGCTTGGTCGCTCACGAAAGAATGGAAGAATGGAAAACTCACCTGACGATGACAGGTTTCTCGGATCCGGCAACGAAGCCGAATCCATACTCAGAGTGTCGGCTGAGTTCCAAATGGCGAGGCATTGGAGGGTCCGGGTCCACGTCCTTCCCGCGGGGGTCCGTGTACGTCGTCGTCTTGTTGACGTGGCTGGGGAAATAGCAGAAAATAATTTTTTTAATACCTTACATGCATCTATCTATAAGGTAGCCGTTCCATAACCCAATAAAAGTAAAGCAGGAATAGGTGGACTATACCTATAGCCCCGGCAACGACAAGGAGGGAGCACCGAGTTTCTCATGGTTTGAGTATCGCATTCACACTGAAACCATGAAAGACTCTCACCTCACTCTATTGGAATTGTGTCATCAACCGACCTGATTGGGGGAGAGGAGTGGAAGAAGGGAAAAGGATGACGCCAATCAGGAAAGGAGCCCATCGTATGAGAGAGGCTTGAGGGCATTCAAAGGCAAAGGGTTTCAATCAAGCCGACCCAGGGACACTCCCAAAGGGAGTCGTATACGGAAACAACGAGCTAAAAGATTCTCATTCTCTCCTCGCTTTTCCTCAGTTGCTGTCTTTCTTCCTGGGGGATATTCGCTTCTCTCCCTTGCCCCTTTCAACGGGGGGATCCCATAGAAGGCACCGTACTGGATGAGAGCCAAGAAATTCTTCCCCCCCTCGGTTGGTCTCTCTTCGCTTGCTCTATACGCGTATGAATATCGAAGACTGCTCCTGTGGCTTTTTGCAGCCACACCGTCCCAAAAGGCCTCTCATCGCCATCATGACTCAGCAATTCCAGCGAACAAGGAGTCTTTCCTCGGCAAAAAAAACGATAGTGACAGACTATCTGTTTCAGTGCTCTGCACAAATCTCGTTTCTGCGACACAAGACGCGAAGCCCATGTGAACTACTTAGCGCCGAAACCTTACACAAAAGGAGTGCTGTTTTAAAGTTGATCTCTCTAAAAGAAAATCCTCTATCTCCAGAGTTAAGCATTGGCAGCGAATTCATTTAGACCTATTGAAGACTATCAGCATAGGTGAAATTCTCACATTCATTATAAACTGCATTATGGATGAAAGGATAGAAAAGGAAAGAAGGTATATAGATGAAAGGAAGATGAAAAAAGAAATATTAATAGAGATGTCATAATTATCTATCACCAAAAGATGATAGTATACCCGAGGCGGGGAACATGTGGCCCAAGACCCTCAAGTGGAGGGGAACAACGAGTAACGACAGGAAAGAGAAAGGAAGAAAAATAGAAGGAGCGAGCCAGAGAGATCTCCAGATGCCAATAGGCGATGACACCCTGGAATGAGGACCATCCTTCATTTTGTCTCTTCCGTTCGACTTATGCCCTTGCGCTATGATGATCGACCTATGCACACCCACCTCCTCATTACACGCCGTGCCAGAGACTAGAGAGGAATCCACATGGGGAGGACTCCTTCAGAAATTGCCACAATTACATAGCATACAATCATAAAGGGCAGCGTCTCTCGATTTTGCTGCGATAAGAGAAAACACAAGATGCAGAACAAATTTTATACGGACAGCGAAAACAAAAAGTAGAACGCCTGTTCTAAAGAAATCGACATTTAGATCCACGCTTCACAGCGTAATGGCTGTGCTAGACGAAAACAGTATCTCAAATGGATAGAGTCAATCTTTATCGCGATCAACACGACTGGTACAGAGGACTTGAAATGGGCGGAAAATTGCCTTAACGCAAGAAAGAACGAGCTGCATCTTCATTGGAATCAGTCCTAAGGCAATCCAATCACATCTCCATCTCATTCCCACCAGTCCGAACGATGACTTTATTGCGCCTTCCCCCTCCAATAAAAAATGATCTTTATATCCAACTAGGTATTGTGATCTGGATAATGCTCCCTCTTTTTCCCCCCTGCATGCCTAGGACACGAAGGAGATGGGACTCACTTGATGAAATAGGTTTTCCCCTCCTTGTCGGTCGCTGCCTCCCATCCGTAGGGGAGGCCCCGGGGCACCCCTTCCCAGCAGTCCACGGGAGGCAACCAGGAACTCGTCCCCGTCGCATGGCTGCAAACACACGCAAAGCAAACAAATGTACACACCTCGGCATCACCAAAGTGATAGTGTATAACGACATCCGTCATGTTTCTATCTCGGAAATGAGGTCAGAGAAAGTCTTGACAGCATTGCATGCACGTCAGGCCCGAACGGACTCCGATGGAGGTAGGAGCCCTATGAAACTTATGGTTGGAAGAGTGCCTTGATAAACAGAAGACACTCTCCTCTATGATGATCTCTTCCTCCCCTGTATATCCTCTCACACCTTCACTCACCCTCCTCAAGACCCATTTATCCTCTTATCTTGCTCGCCTCTCGACCTTTCAAAAATATTTTTTTACGAGATGACGGAAGGTGCGATGCAAAACCACTAGGAAACCGGGGAGCGTCACGAATAAGGAGAAAACCGGATAATTACTTAAGGCTAATATAATATACACCCTCATGATACAAGGCTCGTACGAAATGATTTGTTGTGCAAAAGGTTTCGAAGATGAAGGGCCCTCCAAGGCAATCATTCCGATTACAGTTATTGAAGACATCAATTACAAGAACTTTCCTCTATCTGGACTCGCGTGGATGTCAGTATATATTTTATGATAGCATGCCGCTTATTCTAATAACCCTATAAATTAGATCTAAATGGCATGGGGTTGGCATACCCTGGCCCTTCCCCTTACGATCACAGTATCCGACTATCTTCTGTTATGCACCATCATTCGAAGATTCACACAAACCTCTTATGGGATATTACCTGGTTTTTTTTCCACGAGACATTCATGGGAAAAAAATTGTGAGGTATCCTTGCAAATTTAGCAAGAAGGGCTTGGGGGGCATGTCATTCGTATCATACTATATTTCTTGGACGATTTAGTATCCCAGGAAAGGAAGAGAAACGCGGAAGATCCCTTCCCTAACCCGACCTTCTAAAATAAGGCATAAAATGAGGCAGTCTGGGTAAGCGATGCGCTCCGGGCTGTTGAGAACGAAATTTGCAAGCGGATCAGAACAGGATCAAAGAAGCAACTCATCCATGCAAGAGTTGGAAAACAAGAGTGGAACGCTTCCACCGTTCCATCGGAATTCATATTGTCAGCCTCTGTTTACACACACACACACACGAGGTAACGGGAAGAAACCAGATGCTTCTGATCACCCACAGAGAAAGAAGATCATCGAATATCACCCTTAATGGCAGGGGAAACCAGAGACGACGATGAGTGATGTAGGGCCACTTAATGAAGCCATACATTTTCCGTCTATGAAGATCATTAACCACAGAATGACGATGGATTTAAAACCGTCACAATGTACGGCTGGGGAGAAATACCACCATTTATTTCGAGTGGCATGAATATAAAGACAGCCGTTCCATTTCGCTTCTCTCAATGCACATCGAACGTATTGACTCAGCGGAAAGCACGAATAGTAACCGACCACTCGAGAATTCAGGCAACCCTGGCATATTTCTCAGGTCTCAGGAGAACAATCCACGAACAGTTATTGCATCGGCGCAAAAGCCCCATGCAGTCCATTCGACGTAATGAGGGAAGGACGAAAGTTCCAAAGAAAGAAAGACACAAGCTGACAGCTAGATTTGTCGCATAACGAAGCTAACTTAGGCGGAGCTATCAGTCGACACGTGAGGGTTTCCTCTCTCCCGCCAACCGAAATGGAAGGTAAACAGAGGCAGAACCTGCCAACTTCATCTTCTCTTCCCAATCATCGGCACCCTCGGGAGAGGACTGGTACGATCCTGCAACCCTGCATCGTACAATCACGCTCTTTCCCCCTGATTCCTCCCACCCTGCCCAACACGCGGTCCGAGCGGGATAGACAGCCGCGCAGGCTGCATATATCCTGACGATGAAAAGGCCCCATCATATGCCTAGGGATACTTCCATACGCTCTACTTTCATCGTTCAGAGAAGAATACGCTACCTCGTGATGCAGCAAGAGACGATTACCGTGATCTTCTGTGGCATGAAATTCAGAGTGATAGCAGCACACAACAACCGAAGGTGATGTTATTGCACTGTGCAATCACATCAGCTTCAGTTGCCGAGTGTTACTGCAATGACAGGGCAATTACTGGCAAATAACACAGGTACTTCTTCCTCGTGAGATAATAATTACAAAATATCAAAATTACGAATATTTTCCAATTTTGCGAAAATTTATATAGAGACATCTACAGTATACTTCATGTAAAATTTCGATAACTTTATTTTCCGGTAAAACCCTCGAATCTATTTCTAAGTTCGCGGTGATTTACTTAGTAGCTATGGTATGTAGTCAGTCCTATTGTTATTATTGGACAGACTGAGTCAGGATTTTGAATCTCAAGAAAAAAAGTTAATACTGCTACCGCAGGATTTGAAGCTGACCTAAGACATCAAAGGCCTACTGAGAGTCCTATAGTATTTGTTTCCATTCCGCTAGGATTCGGTAAAGTTTACACTGCACTTGTAGTAATTTGCATGTTACGAATTCCGTCTGCCAAAACAAACGGGAAAGTATAATCATATGAGAAGATTTATACGAGTATAACATCGCCATGCTAGTGAGCGGAAATTCCTTTTACTGCTGAAGGGAGAAAGAAGAACTTCAGACCGATCTTGTATTCCAATCCATATCCAGTCTGCATCATTGTCAAAAAAGGGCGAAGTGAGAAGGAAGACATGTCAAGACAATGGAATTTGTTCCCCTCCCCTCATCTTGAGAGGGGGAAAGGGTAAGCGCCTTGAATCTCGAGAGAGTCATTATTGAGTGAGACAACGACGCCCTTGATATTCCCAACCATGCAATACTTGAGCAAGCCACTCTCATCCCACGAAGCATGTCGCAGAAAGAATACGAGGATTCCCCATGAAGCATGCCTTATCGGCCGAGGGCGTATCAAGCGAACTTATGCAGATCCCTACGATGGAAGGAATGAATAAGAAGGCTTTTATGAGGAAGAGGCCTTCGGCTGAGGCCAGGCTCAATCAGGTTTCAGTCAACCATACGCACATGAACATCCTATATCCCTCTCTTTTCATTCTTCTCTCTCCTTCCTCCTCCTTCCCATACATCCCAACTAGACCGAAAAATAGGGTAATGTCCCAAGGAAGCGTCCATAATATCCTGTCTCTGCATGCAACCCAAAGCTTATCCTCATGAAACTTGGTGACTTCAAAGGATCTCAAGAGAGACATGCTAATGAAATGAAATGCTCCGTCTCTGACACGGACATGTTTACAGGATAATTACCTCATCTCATCCCGGCATCTTACGTTACGAAGCTGACATCTTATGTTTCGCAGTTACAGACCACACAGAGGGCACGATAACGATAATGAACGACACAATCATGGAGGAAACGGATCAAATGGATCAACGCGACTGGCGAGGCTATCCATCAATCTCTTACCGTCTATCGTAGACCTGCGGCTGACTCCTCGAGAAGAGAACGGAGCGAAGATGCTTGAGATTGCACGTGGTCATGAGTTAACTGCGGAGTGGGACGGAGGCGGAAGAGGAATTGAACAGTGGATGGATGGATGACCGGGATTCACTCATACACGCTCTCGTCTACGCTCACGTCTGCTCGTCTCCGACTCTTCCGTATCCTCCTTATTTTAGCATCTGCAAGCATGTGCACAAGCCCGAGCTTCTTCTTCTTCTTCCCCGTCGCGCTCTCATCTATCACTTTTTTCTCCCCCTAGCTCCTCTGACTCACTCACCTGCGTGGGGTCTTCACCGCGATAGAGACCTCCTCATAAGATACGACTCACTGCCAGCGTCAAGTATTCGGAACTGATGGCTGAATAATATTCAGGTTGCGAACACTTTCTACGGATGTTCGGGATCCTCCGCTACGACGATCGTAGATACTTTCTATGATCGCCTCAGCCGATTAGTCCACATCGAGGATTTCACAGAGGACGCAAATAACTGTTCTCGCGCCTCGAATGAGAGCCGATCGTCAATCTTGCACTCGAGTGAAATGAATCGACTTTAAAGAAAAGAACGATGAGCATCACAGGGTATTGGGGGAGAAGAAGATTGTGTTGACAAGGGAGAGCCGGAGGCGAAGTGGAAAGGAAGCACTGAGGGGGAAGGAGAGGCCACCACTGGTGGTTAGGGCTAAGGGGCGATAGGGGATATATTCAAGAGGGGAAGGGGGGGGGTCTGGGTCTCGAAGGCAAGAGAGAATCAATGTTGCTGCTTGCTGGGCTCATGCAGGCCCCTCTCCGGAAACGGATCTCTGCTTCCATTCATTCATAGCCCTACATGTATCGATCAAGATACGAGCAATCTGATTAATGTAAACTCAGACATAGTCGGATGATCTACGACCAGATTTAATGGGTCCTGGCAAAGGACCTCTCGTGAGTGCACGAGGCCACTCACTTTATCACGCCTCCTTTCCCAACTTCTTTCCTTCCTTCCTTGCTTCCTTCATTCTGACGACTTCATCCCATAATAAATCGCGGGATTCTCCTCTGCGACATGATTTTCTGCTCATTAAGAAGCAGACTGCAGCGATTCTGACATAAACTCGAATGAATGAATGCCACGCGTCGGAAACGAGCCACGAGGCTCTCATCGCACATGGGAAAGCAACAAGAGATGTGGCACGTGTCTTGCAGATGGTCCACGGATAGAAGAAAAATTCCAATGCGGAATCGTACAAAAACGCCGCTTTTGATGGACGTACTCCAAAAGAAGACCTCATTAATTGCGGCAACGACAACGAACCGTTTTATGATTCTCGCCCACACATGAAGGCCGCACTGCCGCGCGGCATTCACATCGTGTGAGTGCGTCTGGGGAAGCGTTTGATCAATCCTCATCTACGATCCGCATCGTCTCGTATGTTTCAGCCCGAAAGCACACGAAAGCGGCAGCATCGATACCTTCAACAGCTTCAATGCCGTGGACAAAGCCCTCGCCGCATGCGCTCTGCGCTTTCTCCTCTGCACCTCGCTGTATTAAAAGTCGCGACGTGCTAACGACGGTTCTCTTCTTCCACCTGGACTTTCAGCCCTCCCTTGTCACCACCTACTTCATGAACACGATGATGACACCTCCCGATAGACATCTGCTCCAACCGCTGTTGACAGCCGCATGCATGACAAATATAGGTCGATCAGACGTTCGTTCAAACGTACTTCCGTCAAAACGTCGCGAGCATATGCGAACACGACACGTCCCTTCCAACGACTGTTCTGCCTATACTGGCAGGGGAGGAAGTGGACACGAAACAAAGGAAGTGGGTGGTTGTTGAGACACGTGCCTGTGCCTGGAGTCAGATTTCCCTCCGGTTACCATCCATTTCCTCCGATTACATTCCTCCTAATTGCCCCCTTTCTTTTCTGCTCCCTGGCAACTACTTCTTTCTACTTCATCGCTTCCAGGTTTCGCTATTGGCACGCTGCCCGACTCTCTTGCGTGCAATATGATAGGTTCTCGCATTGTAGTGTTGACGGTTCTGCAGCACTCGGCGTTCCATTCGATCAAGTCGAAATTCCCCCCGAAACTTGAAACCATGCAGCTGTCTAAAGAGGTTTCAGACATTTTAGGCAAGGACCACATGCATTCCTTTAGCCCCCCCCCCACCTTAGCTCCCACAGCCAAGGCTTGTCCCCGGTCTCGATAAACACCTGAATAATTAATTATCTAAAAGTTATGGGACGGCTACAATTTCCCGCAAAAATTAACGGGCGTAAAACATGCTTCGATAGATAGAAGTTGAGGGTGAGCTACTCTTTCCAGGACACCTACTTCATATCAACGTGGATAGGTGAGACAGATGAGAAAAGAAAGTAGAACAAAAGTCACAATAGCAACGACCTTGCACGGGACTTCGATTGACACTGAGAAGTACTCTCCTAATTCTACCGGATCCCTCCCCGGAGAAGGAAGTAGACAGCAATTGCCATTTGCCGGACGGTCATTATTTTGTCGGTCTGACGACAAAGACACGCCAGCGCAGAGGACAAAGGAAGCGACCTTCGCGTGCCCTCAATGTGGACCCATATGGCCCCGCAAAACGACCCATCTGGAGATTACATGCCCACCGAAAACACGGACGGGAAGTGGTAACACGGGCCTCCCCAGGAGGACAACCGGGAAAACATAAACGGGAACAGCTGCCCGCTCGGAAAAAAAAAGAACGTGAAGTTAGACTAACTTCAGTTAAAACTCCAGGTGAACATGCGGCCGACGAAAGCGTCTGCAGTTTCAGCTTTTAGAAACAGCATGTGTCAGGAAACGAGACGAAAGGCGGAATCCTATCCCTCAAGTGTCATCGGATATAGGATGCATGGTGGTGGCATCAAAGGAATGAGAGACGCGCCACAGGACATCTCCTAATGGCTCCTCACTCTTCGTCTCTTCTTCTTCGTCGCCTAACGCCAATCTTCGTTATGGCGAACATGGGAACGAGATCTCATGATCGCAACTTCGTGTTTATGCTTTAAGCTTACTTGAACCTTCCGGCTATTACGCACTCGCATCTCTCACGGAAGCACGATGCGAGAAATCCTTGCGGTCCCGATTGAGAGAAAACCAGCAGGGAGAGCCAATTACGAGCAAGACAAAAAAAAGAGGGTGGGAGGGCCCTTTCATCAAGGACCAAGATGAATGCTACCTCATAAGCATTGCAAAAACATCCTGGTTGACTGCCTACTGCAAGCCAATACATGCTCCCCTAGTATTCACTCGAGCGAAAATATGGAAATCCAAAGCAAAAAGTTACAGGAGTTCCTCGATTTCTATGGTGGAAACATTCAGAGTTCTTTTACCTTTTTTTTTTTTTTTTACCAGAGGTCCTACACCATTTGACGAATAACCATTGACTCACCCATTTCGAATGGTGTTTGGCAGGAGGAGGCATGTCGGTTTCGCAATGCTGTTATGGGGTGACGACGTGTATTTCGAATGCAACGAGCCACGATTTCCCATCCTTGCTCGCGCATTTGGTCCAAGCCAGGGCCGGGCAAATACAGCGCGGAGGGACAGATTATTCCGACGTGCAAACACACAGATCTATTCGAGCATGTGCCAATATCAACACGAGACATCCATCCCCATTGTGGATGGCATGATGGCTTCGTGCCATCCTTCTTTTCCCCCCCTCTCACGAACGCCGGTCGGGTCGAGTCGCGCGTCGCCACGATCTCTCACTGCGTCGCCCTCAGTGAGTCGAAGGAAGAACCAGAGGAGGAAGGCGCCAAGGGGGCTTCGAAGGGAAAATCCGAGGAACGGGGTAGAAAGGAGGAGGAAGCGTTCAAGGTTCAAGGGCTTCAAGGGAAGACTGAGAGGGTGAAAACAGACACTTGCAAGCAGGGACTGTGTTGATGTGAAAACCCGGCTCCGCTGTGTTTGGACGAAACTTGTGTTATTCCTCCAGAAAGGCATTTGCCCCAAACAACGTCCCTTTTTCCTCCCTTGCCTTCCCCATCAGGTCCAATGCAAACAACAACGTTGAACTCGAGTGCGAATGAGACCTTCAAAATCACGAAGGAGATATAAACCAGCATACTCCCATCCCAGCCGGAAGCATATTTTTTTATGAACACCAGCAAATCCTCGACTACAACGAAAATAGACCTGCTACGGGTTCCGGTGGGGAAAAAAATCGTCTTTAAAAACAGAGAGATGATAAATGACGACCTCTTTCGCCAAGATAATCATTCTTTAGTGCTGACAAACCCAGAAGATGATACCCGAAGTGTATCTTCGGGCCTGGACTTCGACCCCTCCGAGGCACCGGAATCATCATTGATTCAATTAAATAGAGTAAAAAAATAATAAAAAAGTTTCCATATTAGGGGGAACGGCGACGGAATGAGTTGGGCGGGGGAGAGGAAGGTCGAAAGGGAGAGAATGGGAATGTGCAGCTGAATAGGATGAGGATGATGATGATGATAATGACGATGCCTGACAAAAAGGACGAGGAAGGGTTTCTCGTCATTAGGAGCTTAATGACGCCGTTCTGGGGACTCCGGCTACACCATGTCATGTCCGAATGGAAGCCTCGCTAATCCTTCCCAGAAAGACACGCCCAAAGCCAATATCAAGTATATGGGGAAAAAAAAAATTTACGAGCCTCTCGGGCGGGACACTCAAGGTTAAAACTCATTCGGTGCGAGACGACGACTGTCGGCAAGGGGACTGTCGGCAAGGGCCCCTCCGATGTGAACTTCACAGAGATACGGCCGAGGTGGAAATGAAAGACTCGGGCAATGTATGGCGTGCAGGGGAGATCTACGTCAAGACAGGAAGGATTTCTCTGGAGAGCAATCCATCCCAGGTTCCTGTCACTCAACCGCACGAAATCTCCAGCAAATCTCTATCCCTCCCCGTGATATACAGTACCGAAAAAGCATGTCCCCCCTCACGCCATCTCCTCACCCGCAAGCCTACTATCCCTCACGAATATTGACTCTCCGCAAGTCATAAACCGCAGGAGGAAATAATTTGATCCGAAAAAAGGG